GATATTTTTATTAATAAAATTTAAAAAATAAGTGTAATAAACAATGATTATTTTATTAGTAATGAAAATGAAATACATAATTTAGAACTGACCAAAAATGAAATTATTTTATTGTTCGGAAAAGATTAATAGTTCAAATTTTGGGTCAAACATGTTAACCTTTAATGTCACAAATAAATAATAAAAGTTAATAAAATATAAAAATACATAAATTTTGGAAAAAAACATTTAGGCACATGTATAATATCATATATTTATCATATTAAAAAAATGTAAGTGTAGCATATTAGAATTATTTATATAGACAAAAATATAAAAAAAAAGTTACAAAAAAAATTGAACACATATATAATTCTATATTTACACTATTATTAAAAATATGAATTTGTGGAACTTTCTTTTGACTAAAATACTCATTTTTGAATTTAGTCCCTATTCAATTATGAGTTTTAAAATGTARACTGAACTACTACTTTTCACCCCATTCAATTCCCTCTATTTAAATCTTTCATTTTTTTATAAATGAACAAAAAAAAAGATACAAAGATTAAATATTACAAAAACAAGAACCTAGCCAAGCAATGGGGCATATCAATGATATTTGAAACTTCACAACTCGATTCGATTATCACTGTTTTGGATGAGGTGTTTATATAATCAGATTTGGATTTTCAATCTACATCTGATTAATAATAAAAAAAAAACAAAAAAAATATAAATGCAAAAAATAAAAAATACGTAAAGTTTATAGAAAATTTTGTATTACTATCATTATTATCATCTAGAATTTTCACGTGCAAAGCACGTGCACATTTACTAGTACTTTAAACATAAAGATAAATTAGAGAAAATTGAATGAGGTGAAAAGCAATAGTTTAAATTGGACTCTTCTTTTTGTAAAATTTGAAGATATGGAATTGAATGATGTGAAAGTTTCATTTTTAAACCTCATTATTAAATAGAGATTAAATTCAAAAATGGGTATTTTAGTCAAAAGAAAGTTTCATAATCTTATTCATATTTTTAATAGTAGTGTAAATATAGAATTATAGATGTGTTCAATTTTTTATATATATATTTTTTTATTTCTGTGTKTAAAAATAATATTGTTATTTACACTTATTTTTTGTTTAATATGATAAATATAGGATATTATACATGTGCCCAATTTTGTTTTGTAAAATTTATGCATTTCATTTATTTTGTGTTTTTTATATTTATTAATTTTTACTATTTAATTATGACATTAAAGGTTGACAGATTTGATCCAAAAGTGGAATCATTCATCTCCGCTAAATAGGAAAATAATTTTATTTTTTGTTAGTTTTAGATTATGTATTTCATTTTCATCATCAATAAAAATAATTCTTATTTATTATACTTGTTTTTAAATTTGAATAATAAAAAAATATCATAAATGTGTATTTTTTCTACAATTTTGTAATTTTCTATTTAAAATTTTTATTATCTAACTATGACTTCATGGGTTGGCCAATTTGATTCGAATAGTTGAATTTCTTAGTTACCACTTGGATGAAAAATGGTTTTGTTTTTGTGTAAGTTTTAAAATATATGAGTTTATATTATTAAAAATATTGGGTATAGATCTAATTAGTAGCATTTATTAGTGAAAAAATAACTTAAATATGGTATTTAATAAGAGAGAATGGGAGTTAATACCTTAAATACAAGAGTTAATGAGAGGGGATTAAATGAGGTGCAAAGAATTAATTGAAATTATATTTTCAACGTTTATAATTACAGATGGACTAAATAACAAATGTGGGCATTTTAGTGAAGAAAAGTTTCACACCCTTATTTGTACTTTTTATAATAGTATAGATTTATACTATATTTTGGATTTTATTGACTAAAATACCCCTGATTTTGAACTTAATCCCTTTATTATGAGGGCAAAAAAATGTAATTGAACTATTACTTTTAAATTCATTATATTCCCTCTCATTAAGTCTCATACTTAGGGTATTAACTCTAGCTACCATTCATTAAAACATATATTAAAGGTATATTAAAACACCCCTACTTTTGAATTTGGTCCCTCTCTAACCATAAGGGAAGAAAAGATAATTTGAACCATGATTTTGAAAACCAGACCAAACTGGCCGATCGAACTGGTTGACTTGGGAATTAGTGGTCAAAGTGGTTCCATTTTCGGTCCAATTTTCAAAACCATGATTTGAACTTCATTGAATTTCCTCTCATTAGGTCTTGTATTTAAGGTGTTGGTTTCCATTCTCTCTTTTTCTCTCTCTCCCTTTCTCTCTCTCTCTCTCTCACACACACACACACATACACATTAGATCATTTGATTGAGGTATTTTTGTTTCACACTAATAAATTCTATTAATTAAATCTATATTAAAAAATTTCAATATAAAACTTGTGTATTTAAAACTAACATGGAAATTAAAGTGCACTTCCACTCAAGTGGTGGGTAAGTAGTTGAACCATTTGAGTCAAATTGTTTAACCCGTAGTGTCATACTTAAATAATAAAAGTTTAAAAATACATACAAAATTTTAAAAATACAAAAATACATTTTTTTTTGTGAAAAATCTAGGGCACATCTCTACAATTATTTATTACCATCTTAAACAAAAGATAATTAAGTATGATAAATAAGTACTTTTATTAATGATGGAAATGAAATACAAAATTTAAACCAAACCAAGAAATAAAACCATTTTCCCTTTCAAGTGGTGGATCAATGGTTCAACCTTTTAGGTTCATGGTTTTGAAAATTAGATGGAAATGGAACTGCTTTGGCCACTGGTTCATAGGTAAAACAATTCGACCATTTGCTCTGAACCCTTGATAAGTCATTTTTTGGGTCAATCAAACTCGGAGCCATGAATAGTTCTTGAGTCAACTGGTTCAACCGTTCGGTTCGATCTAGTTTTCAAAACCATGTTCAGGTCAAATGGGTCAATCTATAATATGATAATTAAATAATAAAAATATTGAAAAAGATGGAGACATAAAAAATTAAAACTTGCAAAATATTTGTAGATGATTTTTGGATATATCTCTAATATTAGACAAAATAAAATTGTGATAAATAAGAATAGTTTTTAGGGTTTGACTATGATGCCAACAAGACATGATATCAGAAAAACTTATAACTAAACAACCAACATCAAGAATGCGATGGCCAATTAGGTGGTTTTTTATTAAAATTTAGAGGGGATTTTGATTGGCCAGATCTTTTTTGATATCATGTATTACTAGCATCATAGATTTTAATGATAGAAATAAAATAGATATAATTAAATAACGGTTTTTCTTTCAAGTCAAATGGGCTAACACATGATGTCATAATAATTATATAATAAATTAAAACAAAAAATATAGAAAAACACAGTTAGTTGTGTTATTAATATAATGTGGTTGTTTCTTCTCATTGTTGGTGTTTTTATTGTTTAGAGATTCAAAAACACTTTTTTTTTTTCGAGTTTGACTTTGGGCTGATCTTCCTTTGTGCATACTTGTCCTTTGAATATTTCCATTTTCCATCCAAAATTTTTGAGAATGCCCACAAATGTGTTAAAAATCACTTGTCCTACATTGGATAAGAAAGGAGTGAGCATTTTCCAACCCTCGTTAAATTTGCTTTACAAATTTACCATTAGAGTAAATGGGTTCTTGACATGAGTTTGATCTTGACTCTTGAGCCTTATTTCAATTCAAGAAATGTGGTTTCAAAATATAGAGTTAAATCTATATATCTATATACTTTTTTTTTTTTATCTTAGACAATGATTTAATTAAAAAAATGCCTCAATGTAGAAGATGTCTCATGTCTATCCACTATAAGGTCAACCCTTATCAATCACAAATAGTTTCTTCCTCTCTTTCTCTCTCTCCACTTTTATTCGTGTTTTTCTTTCTATGGCAAGCATAAGACAAAAAAATGCCCAACACAAGTCAAATAAAACACTGCTGGTTCATTCTTGGATTTAAAGTAAAAAAGAAAAAGAAAAGCCCTCAACATTCTTGTTCTTTTGCCTACATTGCGTATATTATTCTGACATCCTTTTACTTTTTGCAGCTCTTTTGGCTGGAAATTGACATTTATAAGCTAAGCTTGTGGATGCAAGCAAGGCCAATTGTTACAAAAGAGTACTCTTTTTTGTCTCTCTCTCTCTCTATATTCACTATATGCATTAGATCAACCTACGTCTTTAATCTTTACAGCTTGTGGGACAAAATAACTTCATCCCATTGACCTAGGGCTCCAAATGGGGCCATAGATAGAGTACCAAACGGCTTCGTACACGTGTCACTCTCTCCTACTACCAATGATTACATGAATCACACGTGCCCTTTCTCCAAGATTCTTAAGAGTGCGTACCAACTCGCATCCACCCACGTGTCATTCAAACTGAGGTTGACAAGTCCCATCCTCAAAGTGCTGTAAAAGCTGGGAATATATACAGCAGGGATGACAGTGGGTCGGATTCAATGGTAAATTCGGATGAGCCCGTTTCCATCGGTTAATCAGATTCGGGTCTATACAAACCCGACATGCTAGATGTAGCATTGAAACATTTTTGCATGCACCCGTTTGAACATAAAGCTGGTAAGCAATTAAGCATACTGTTTATGGCATGAGATGGGTTTGTCATTTGGTGGTGTCTTCTTTCATTTAAACGAATTGGGTTTAAATAGAGTTTATGTTGCTGAACCCGATCCGTTGACATCCATCATTAGCTCTACGGCCCACAACGTTGACTAATGTCTCCTGTCAGTTACGGATCATTTCCCGTTGATTAGGCGCATACAGTTCTGTCCGTCCGTTCACGCGTTTCGTACTGTGGCGAGAATCCACATTACATCTCTGAATAGGCCACGTGGACATCCGGACCTTCACACTCTGCCCTTCTTGAATCTTGATCTAACCACGGTTAGCTTCCAAGCCTCGGGTTCGGACCCTCATCGTAGCTATATATGGTTACGAGTTATGTCTTCTCTTCGTTCCTCTCGAATTTCGGTTTTCGTTTCAAGAATCAAAAGAAAAGAAAAAAAAAAAAAAAGCCCTAATTTCTCTGCTCGTCCGAGGTTACTCTGCACCAGATTTCGAACCTGGTTTCCGTTTTCTTGGTTTCTGGTATGTGTGTTCATGCATTTCTGCTATCCAGGTCATTGCGGATCGAAGGTTTCGGGGAGAAAAGATGTCGGATTCAACGAGAAGGTATGAAATAGGATATGCTCTTGCGCCCAAGAAACAGCAGAGCTTCATCCAGGTTTCTTTGGTGAATCTTGCAAAGGAGAGAGGTATCGATCTTATACGAATCGATGCTGATAAGCCGTTGGTGGATCAGGGCCCCTTCGATTGTATCCTTCACAAATTGTCCGGCGAAGAATGGAAGAAACAGCTGCAGGATTATTCTTCGAAGAACCCTAATGTGTTTATAATCGATCCACCGGATGCAATTGAGAGGCTGCATAACAGGATTTCAATGCTCCAGGTGGTGTCTGAATTGAAAATCCCTCAGGAGAATGAGACGTTTGGAATACCAAAACAGGTTGTGGTCTATGATTTTGAAACGTTGTTGGATCCTGCTGCGCTGGAAGGGTTGAGGTTTCCTGTGATTGCGAAGCCGTTGGTGGCCGATGGGAGTGCGAAGTCGCACAAGATGTCGCTTGTGTTCAACCGTGATGGGTTCAGCTTGCTGAAGCCACCGATTGTTCTGCAAGAGTTTGTGAATCATGGTGGGGTTATCTTTAAGGTGTACGTCGTTGGGGACTATGTGAAGTGCGTGAAAAGAAAATCGTTGCCCGATGTATCGGAGGAGAAGTTGGGGAGCTCGGAGAGTTCGTTATCGTTCTCGCAGATATCGAACTTGACCATACAGGATCGGAACGACGGCCGCTATTACGAGACTATGCATTTGGAAGATGCTGAGATGCCCCCGCTGAGTTTCATTACGGACATTGCAAGAGGATTGCGACAGGCCATGCGGTTGCATCTTTTCAACTTTGATGTCATCAGGGATGCAAGGGTAGGGAACCATTACCTCGTCATTGATATCAATTACTTCCCTGGGTATGCAAAGATGCCATGTTATGAGACTGTTTTGACGGATTTCTTCTGGGACATTGTTCACAAGAAAGAGGCGGTGGGTTTGGTTAAGGAAGAGAAACCAGAGATGGGTTCTGATTGTCGGAGGATGCCTAGTGGGGAGATAAAGCTTGCCAGCAATACTTGTTGCAGCGACGGGGATCATGGGGCCCTCCCGCTTTCTCCTTTGTCATTGGAATTGGAAGAGAAGGAGAGCACCGTTCAAATCTGGGAACAATAACGGGACACATGTGTGGCTTGCTGGCTTATTGGCTGGAAGAGTGGTCAATAGATTTTGCTTCAGCACCTTTGAACGTCCCAAACACGTCGTTTGCCAATTTCGAGGTAGACTGAAGAATGCGGCACCCAAGTTTTCAAATTAAAGTTGGCATGGTGGTCGAATAAATAGGTTGAATGCTTCGTAGTTCCGCCTCTGGACGTGTTTCATGTTGATCTTGTATATTCCACCATTGTGCTGGACATAGGTATTTCTCAAATACTTGAAGTTCTAGGAAGGTTGGAGGTGTTTTCCGAGGCTTATGTATTCCCATGCTTCCAAGCTGTTTTAACATGTCAAATGTTCACACATATAATGCATGAATTCTGCCATTTTGTCCATAATATTCTCTATTTGTTTATTCACTCATTTATTTATTTTGTGAAATGAGCTTAATTGGATTTTTTGTTATTTTTGCAACTGGAACATTAGTTCAGTTATTAACTCATGATTCATATTTGCACTTCTCTGCATTAATCTTCCTGATCATGACAGGTTACTAATTTTCATCTTTTTATCCAATCAAACATCTCAACTGTTCAATGGTGTTTAATTTGATTGTTATAATCGATTTGGACATTCTAGACATCTGAAAACATGGTCTGAACCAGAGCAGTTGCAAATATGGATCTATTATTCTTCTCTCATTTCTCATTTCCATTGCTCCATCTGATTAGTCAGGATGAATTATTTGTATTAATTAAAAAAATGTGGACACAATTGTTGTTGGGAGACGTTTTCTGGACATGCTCTTCTTAGAGCGATCATTTTTCACCAGAAGAGCTGTTGTTAACATAGCTTCCAGAGGGGACTTTGCATGTTTAGTTTTGATCTATACAAACTTGTGTTCTTAGTGGGATGGTGCTTGGGGAGTGACGTCTCCCACTATTGATTCCTTAGTTTTTTGCATTGGTGAATGTCTATCCTGTTTTCTGTTTGCGCATATCAATTTATTTCTTTTTATAGCCCTTTTACAAAATAGTTTCTACTGTACTATGTGAATGTGGTCTCAACTGGAGCTTTTGTGGTGCTTAATTGTTTTTGTACCCTTTGAACTATATTCCTGGCCTTCTTCTCTCTTAGCTAACACCATTGTTATGGATATTGATTTTGTATTGTTTTTCTTAACATTGTCTGGACTTTTGAGGTATCAAGACTTAAGTGCAGTTATATGGATTTTGATTCCCCACTCCCCTAAAAAGGAAGCAAGGGTTTTGTCTTCCTACATGAACTGCTTGTTCAGGTGTTAGCCAACAACCTTGTTAACAGCAAGGCAGATGTAACTATGGATGAGCTAATCTGGAGGCACTGAGCTCAGGACTCAACTTGTAAATCAGCTTTGTATTGTTGGAAAATTTGTTTGTCAGCCTTTGGCTACAATTTTTTCAACCCATAGTTGAACCATCTGGTTGGACTAGTCAACCTGTCACCCTGCCAGGTTTTTAGGTCTGTTTTTCCCTCATACTGTTTACTTGCAGAAAAATATTGACTTGGTCAACGACCTAGTGACCTAACCAGTTGAACCACTGAACGGTTTGACCTTGTCAGCAGTTCATGGGTTAGACTGTTCTGTTTTTTTCCTGTTTCTTTGTTTTTTTCTAGCCATTTCTATCACCACTAACAATAATACTCTTTTATCACACTTATTTTTTTTTTGTTTAATATAATTAATATATAATATTAGAGACATGCCCATTTCTTTTGCAAATCTTTTGCAATCTGTATTTTATTATTTGATTTTTGATGTCTTGGGTTGGTGTTCTTTTAGGGACAACAACCAATATTAAAACACATGTGGGAGAGACATCAGATTTATTTGCACTAATTATGGATGTGAATTGAAGGGGTCATTGCCTGGTGCAATGGTAAAACCTTTGCCTGACAAGCCTGAGAATACGGATTTGAGCATGAGAGCAGTCACTTTGTGTGAAAAAGTACAAAAGGTTATTCATCAAAAAAAAAAAAGAAAAAGTACAAAGGGTTAGTTCATATCCAATCCATCCATTCCAAAACCCTAGGTAGATGGGTCCAAAATTAGGCAATGGCCTTGTTTTATTCATGGACGAATTGACTAAATATATTCAGGAGGAGGCCTCTTGGTGCATGCTATTTGCTGAAGACAATAGTACTTATTGCTAAAACTAATGAAGGATTAAATGCAAAATTAGATTTATGGGCAAATACCTCAGAAACAAGACCACCTAAGGAAGCTGCTAATGCTGATCTGTTACCTGGGCCAACCCTTACTAACAACCACCTYCATGTCCTCCAAATCCACCCTGAGTACCTGGGTCAACTCTTCCATCTCCTCAGTTACCACGACCAGCAAGTACCATGTCCTCCACCTTTGGAGACTGTTAATGTTGATCACCACTTTCAGATGCAGCCGTGATTGCCCCAAACACTTACACCAACTTTCAGCAATAACAATGAAGACAAATTAATTTCACACCACTAAAATATCTGTTTCAGCATACTACTCAAACATATCAAATCTGGCTGGCACCAACACAAGCCAAACTTTCCAGCACTTCCCTCCTTGATAACCACAAATGGAGGGCTTAAACCACCACAAACACCACTCTATAATTACACACAATGTCTGCAACCGTAGGAGAAAAAGATGTTCCTGATTTGTAGCTGCTGAAGAAAAACTATCACTACTGCCCACTTGTGAATACTTCTAGATTTGATCATAGCCATATCTTCTCACATAAGTGTGACCTCAGTACACAAGAAACAAATAAAACAATAGATAAACTTCATAAGAGAGAAACTAATCAAAAAAAAAGAAAATCACGAGAGAGAAGAGAAGAGAGAAGGATGGGGGAGAAAATAATAGATCTCTCCCTCAGGCAGCCAGGTTTGTATTTATAGTTTTAGAATACATGAGAATGACTATTCTGCCCCTTATTAAGAAGTATGGAACAGTTTCATTAAATTGGGGACACATCTGTAGCTCTATATTATAACAAAAAAATAGGGAAAAGACATAAGCACCCCTGTCTACAGTCCACATTACAAGAGAAGAGAAGAGACCCAAACATATTGTACTACAAGAGAAGATACTTGGATATGGACTCAACCAATTGAATGACTTGAACAGTGAATGTAGGTTTGCTCCTTCTTCTTCTTCCCCCCCATTCAATCTTCTTTTTCTGGGACTGAAACAGGGGCTCTACTGCTTCTCTCTGATTTTTTTTTTTAATTTTTTTATTGCATTCTTGGTCTGAAAGAGGGGCTCTTTTCTTCTTTTTCTGAGTTGAGGTTTATCTGGAATAGGTGGTAATTTAGGGGCATTGAAAGCAATATCTTAGCAACAACTTGAGGCCATATTGGAGCGAGTAATTCCATAAAGGCAGAATTAATGGCTGCTTCTCTCCCCCTGAACTGTCCAAAAGGTTGCAAAAGAAATCATGCCCCACACCGCTTTTCTTTTCTTACATGTAGAGTTTCCAGGAAATTTTCCCATTGTAAGTGTGTGGTCTGTCAATGGAAAACAAGTGATTTCAGGGCTGTCCAAAGACACCACACAATTGTGTTCACAGCCATGCCCCATCTTTGAAGGTTTGAGGATGCAAGGTATTTGTCTAGAGCCATAGTCCACACCAAAATATGCAATCTTGAGGTAACACGTAGCTGCCATATTTTTGAGCTGGGGAAATTTCTCACTGATGAGGAATTTGGTTCTGTAAAAAAAGAATGTTCAAAAACATTCCTGAGCTATTCCACCTCAATGCTAGTGCCTTCTTGATTTAAAAGATGATTTGTTTCTCTTATCAGTAATTGTTCAGGAGCTCATTCATTTCTTCAACCTCCTAATCATTTAAATCTCGCACCATCTCTGGATTCCATGCAACCTCCTTGTTTAGTGTAGATTCCCCCACTAATGAGTAATGAATCGCTATGTATGACCACCATGGAGAGAGAAGGGTTTACTCCATAAGTGGACGATCCTCAAACCATGGATTTCTCCAGAATCTTATCCTGCTGCCATTCCCTATTTTGTACCATACACCTTTGATGAATTGTGTATAAGATTTCTCAATACCTTTCCAGATTTCATAACCATAGTTGTTTACATGTATCCCATCCCCTGTTTCTGGTGCCATATTTAGATATGATGATATGCTTTCTTATCTTACTTCCATTTCCACATAAATCAAATATGCTCTGTAATTAGGTGGAGGGTTTTGTAGCGCTGAAGCAACTTTCAAGAAGGTCAACCTTCCTTGATCACTGTTAAGAAAAATATCTACTTCAGGAGCAGTAGTAGAGAAGATACTTCTTTTGGCATGAAGAAAAGTCTTATCATCCCCTTATTGTCCAAGGGCACCAAATTTAAGGGTTTAAAGAAGGTAGGTTTAAATTTGAACATATTTACAGAACTCCTTATTTGCCTGCTCTTAACCTACAAGTCTACAACCTGTTTTTCTCCAGTAGTCGTACTGAATGTTGCAACATATGAAGTTTAGCCTACTAACCTTTTCTTTTTCCTTGGTGTTGGTTGTGGGAGGGGAGGGGGGGGGGATAAAGGGATGGGACATGCTACGTTCTATGCAAAATGAGGGATAAATGGTTTACTTTCTGGACAGGAGAGGAAGGCACCTGTGATTGCCCAGTTATGAATCTTATGATGAGTGGTGACAAATGTGTCTTGATCAGATGCCCATTGAACTCAAACATGGGGTTTGCTTTCTTCAATTCTTAGGACAGCGCTTGCAGCATCAATTCCTTAAACTCAAACATGGGGTTTGCTTCTTCAATTCTTAGGAGTACCCTAAAATGGTATCCAATTCTATTGGATTGTCTTCACTAGCATTTGGAAGGTTGTTGGAACTGGCACCGGTAGTACTGGGTATTGGGGGGGGGGGGGTACACCTACTATTTTTTAGTTTTTCACCCATGTATGTTCATGACTTCATGATCATACCTATACATGATCCACCATTAGGCCCATCTTTTAAAGTTCAAATTTTAGAGTGGTAGTTGTGAGCAGAGTGAAAATAGCAGAGAATCCATCCTCCATTGGCAACACGTGCTTGTCGTAAGTCAACCATTTTCCTTAATATAAATTCTTACAACATTAATTCAATCTGGTTCTCTATGGACAAATTCTTGGAAAGTTGGAAGTACCTATGAAGCTTATTTCAAGAAAAGTTACAAAATCAAAAGAATTATATGCAGGAAAGAATTTGTGAGTATTACAAGTGAAATAGAGAAATTCTATTGTACTGATCAAGGTTATAAATAAGGGTGTCAATGGACCGGTTTTGAATTGGACCCTGTCCAACCCAAAATCAATTCGGATGGATTGAGTGGACCAATAAGACATTGAATTGGTCCTATCTGGTCCAAAATATTTATTGGATTGGATTGGACC